AAATGACGTTCGTAAATACGAAATTTTCAAAAGTGTCTTAAATTCATTCCAATTGTAAACGTTTCCGATCCAAATTATCTGAATACAAATTTTGCAAAACGTAAATAAAACTGTTATTTTTTTCGTTGAAAATGGAAATGTCACTCTATTAGAGGTAAGAGTCATCGTGGATTTCTTCAGTTTAATAATGGGCACTGGGGGAGTGATCAGAGATTAAACTTATAGTTATACAATCTAATCGCTTTGCTCAGAATTAAAACACCACAACTGTAGTACTTCAGCTCATTTTAAGAGAATTGAAAGTTTACGATTTAAAACATTTTGTCACATTGATTATTTCAAGACACATTTTGACTAAATCTTTGTGTACGGATTGTTGTTATGTTTCAAAGGGAGTCAGGTAAATACAGACATTTTTCTTTAATAGTTTTATATCAATAAAATTAATTATTGCGAACAAGACGGCAGGGACTCCACGTTGAAAAAGACAACCGAATCAAATTGTATGAAAGAAATAGGTGGTCACGTAACATTTTTTACAAGATTGTTTTCTGTACCCGTAAATTCATAAACATTCATATACAGGGTGTCCCGGAACTCTCTACCAATATTTTAGGGCATTGCTCCTGGGTAGGAAACATACCTAAATATCATATTTAAATTGTCCGGAAGTCCTTAGTTACTCACACAGCCGCCATTTTGCTTTTTTAGTTATTAATTTTTTTCTAAAGAATGGTTAAACATACGAAATGGAAACTTTGCACAAACATTTATGACTACTAGACAAAGCTACAAAAAAATTATGAAGATTTTTCAAATTCATGAAACAAAATGGTGACCATTTAAAATTTTGTTTCTTAAATAACTCAAAAACCGTTGATTTTATAAAAATTTTAAATGGCCGCCATTTTGTTTTATGAGTTTGAAAAATCTTCATAATTTGTTGGTAGCTTTGTCTAGTTGTCATAAAGGATTCTGCAAAGTTTCCATTTCGTATGTTTAACCATTCTTTAGAAAAAATTAATAACTGAAAAAAAAAACAAAATGGCGGCTGTGTGAGTAACTAAGGACTTCCGGACAATTTAAATATGATATTTAGGTATGTTTCTTACCCAGGAGCAATGCCCTAAAATATTGGTAGAGAGTTCCGGGACACCCTGTATAATACTTTCTTAAATCAACATTTCTCTTGACACCTGATCTACCACTCAGGTCAGCTGGAAAGGTTTTGAGCTCCGTAAAGAAGTATGATTTATTACTTGGATACATTTGCGTACAAGACTCGAGCCAACACGAAAATGTCCCTTTCTCGGAGACCTCGACCACTGCCACAATGACTGCCTCACTGCCTCAATGAGGAAATCTACTTTACAATACCTGACTGGAAAACTAGCACGGTGACTACGACTTGGTGATGATCGAAGAATCTGTGCATACACAAAATACATGGTACTCTATGAAATGAGCCCTAATCCAAGTATGTTGTATAACCTAAACCTAATTGGATTTAGCCACCGAAAAAAATAGCTGATGCAAATTACTCATTTCTGTCGGATACCTAAACTTTTTAACCAACCCAAACTTTAAGTTCAACCTACTGTAAATTATTCATTTTTTGTCACATCAACCGCTAGTAACAAGCACCAAGAGAGCAAATTGAACTGCAGCACACTCTTCGAGTGGCACATTTTATAATTTTAATACAAATGGCTACACCTGATCCGAATAAATGATTTGTCTTCAGTATTTAAAAGTCGCTGATACCATCCTTAAAATTCGATTTCCCCTTTTAGCTGTTTATTTTATTTTATTTGTCAGCAGGCGGAAAAAAGAACGAAAACTGTTCATCCTGACACTTTTCGTTATAATTAGTAAAGACTCGAGAATTGGGTCCGAAAACTCAAATGAGTCGGTGAAAATTGCATTAAAACACTATACACGTATGCAACAATAATGATTGACATGTCGTATGCCCAAGTAGTAGGTTTTTTTGTTTTTTTTTTTAAGACGTTAGTTCTAGCCCGGAACTGTTTTACACATTCTATCAGGCTAGTCCTAGAGGGTTGCTGTATTATCACATTGATAAAAGTCCATTGGTGATTGGCGGGATTTGTACTGGTGGTTTCATGATTGTTTTCCACCTACAAAATTAGCAATCTATCATTATTGTGGTATTTATAAACTTGAATCTTCCAAAAAATTTGTCGTAATTAGTTGTAGCATTAAATTGTGATACTAGAGTAAATATCGCATCTCCATCGACCAGCTGTAGTTAGTTTTTCTAATTTAAACAGATCATAATCGTGAAAATCAGTTTACCCTTTTGGTTTTTTACTGTAATGTCTAACGGGAAACCTAACAAAAATTTGTCCACAGACACTTTCCATCACGAGACGTAAAAACCTCTCATGTGACCCGAAAACCAAACGAGTCGGTGAATTTGCATTGGAAATGACAGTTATATTGCGTGCGCGGGGGAAGGGCGGGGAGGGGGTGGAGACTGCAGTCTGCGCATGCGTAGTCAAGGCCGCGCAATGACCTTGAAACTGCGCCTGCGCCCGACACCTGCCCGTCACTCCCACTCACCACGTCACAGGCACTGCACCAGCGGCTGCATTCCTGTAGTCGCTGTTAACGCGTTTCGAATAATTATTGACGACGTCCCGAGTGAGTATGGATAGTAGGGTAAGTCCCGTCGCACGCGCACGCTTCTGGGAAAGGTCCTTTTATTTTAGTAAAGTAAGGACTTTTAACACCGTAAGTTACTGATTAAATTGATGTAAAGCTGGATTCTTTGATACTTAAATACTGAATAAGATTGGATTTCCACGCCGCAAACACACGGTGCGTATTTTAACAAAGATATTACTGAAAGAATGTGGACTGGATTAGGTGATAGCCTACTGACTAATAAGCTATTTATTTAAACATAGCCGTCTTCTTTATAAATTGTATCAATCCAAAAGTACCCATTAACTTTTGTAAAACTAAAGTCACCCCCCTCCCCCCCCCCAACCACAATATAGGTTTGTGATATTTAAATTTTCGTCTTGGCGAGAAACCTTGCGAAAAACTATTGATTGATTCATGATTTAGCAGTTAGTTTCTAAGGTAAACTTTCTATACATCTGATTCTTTTTATATCCAGTGGTTGGTTGCATCTTATTCAATCAATGTATAACTTAATTTATGAGGTGTGCTTATTGTATCATTCTGTTAAGCTAAACTTTACCAAAATAATGTCATTTTAAACACAAAGTAATCCGGCATATTTTAAAATTTTGGAAAAATCCGTTAGTAGAATTGATGCACTGCTTATTTATTAGGCCCAAAGAATAGGAACAGTTGGTTCCAGTGTCGAACCATAAAAAGGTTTGTTTTCTTATGTGATAGAACCGATAAGAGAATTTAAGTCTACGTGAACGTCCATTAAAATTATCCCAAAGTTGGAAAAAACCTTACATCCCATCACATTTGAAATGTTCTTATTGGTCACTAGATTGGCCTTTTTAGTTGATATGTAGGTTGTGCATAGTTTGGCATTTATTTGTGCGTGATTAATTAAGAATTTTTAAAATTAAATGATTGGATAAGGAAACTCAAGGTTCAACTGAGATGAAAAAGGGCGCGTCCTAATTTTTGATATTTGTAACAGTGAATCTACCAAAACTTAGGTGTTTGCAGTTTCAACACTTAGTTTTCCTATATGTTTGCTGGCAACAGGACAACCTGCCTTCGCGGTTTACCTGTTAAGATTCAGCAAAACTCAGCAGTCTGACACGATTGTATCCATTGAAAGTTACGAGTCGCAATCAGAAGCCGTCGCAACGACACCCTCCTACTCAACCAAATACTAATTTAGGCTGCGTTGTGTGACCGTTTGCAGTCATAAAGTCAGTAAGTGATCACATCGGCGACCGGTCTTGCAACAATGTAAATGCATGTGATGGTCGTGGGCGAATAAATTAATACATCGTCCACCGCCGCGCCTCGCAAAGAAGATTGTGTGAAATTAACGCCTGACTAAATTGCCTGTCCGACGTTTTGTTTGTGTCTACTCGGCCGTGTGATACGGTGTATAATTTACTCGATACATTGTGTAGAAAAAGTCCGATAAGAAAATAAGTGGGCTTGGTCCCGTCATTATGGTTCAACTTTGTAACAGAAATGTAATCTGCGACGGAATGCGGAGTGGAACGTCGTGTAAATGCCGAGGCTGCGGATATCTTTGGTGCCGAAGGTTGAGATCAAACAAAAGTTTATATTAAGTGTGTGTCTTATGTTTAGAAGCTTAGCCCGAATAGAATCCAAATTTGGATTCAATCGTTGATGCACATATTTACATCCACGGATTCGATAGGGTTGTTTGTTGGAATCGTTTCATCGAGGTTTAGTAGAGCGACATAAGAGGAGGCGTTTTTATTTTTGTATTCAGTAATTTTGGTTGTTCTAGCCTCCAATTATTGTTCAGAATTTGTTCTATTGTCTCGTTAGGCTGTGCAATGGTATGTGTATTTTAGAATACATTTTAAGGGAGTTTATACATGTTATTTGCTGCTATTATCATTACATTATGTTGAGACAGGGAAACTGTAGGGTGTGTATATTAACCAGAACTTGAGTATGAAAGATGAGTGTAGAATTGAGTGAGGTAACTTTGACTTATCCCGTGGACTCCTAACTATGTCTATCCACATTTCTCTGGTAGTTGCCTCTAAGTCTTGCCTTCCATAAGTTCAATAGTTTACATTATATCGGTACAATATACAAACCCTTGTAAACGCCTGCTTCAACAACGCCTGCGAAATCGTACAAAAACGTTCGAATGTCATTCAGAATCAGTCAAATTTGTTTTCTCTACATATGTTTCATTGCATGTGCGAATGTCATCCAGAATCAGTCAAATTTGTTTTCTCTACATATGTTTCATTGCATGTGCGAATGTCATTCAGAATCAGTCAAATTTGTTTTCTCTACATATGTTTCATTGCATGTTGCAGGTTCTGGTCGAACAGAGGCCAGATAAGGTTGGGTTGGGATCTGACTTGGTACATCTACCAGTAGCTGACCCTAAGGCGAAGAAGAAGGCCGAATTGTGGAAAAAAGCTCAGAAGAGATTTCAAGAACTAGAAGATGATGACGACTGAACCTTTATATTTAATAGCAATTTGCTGTGAGGAACAACTAATTAACCAAATGTTTTTTTTTTCAATTCTTATTGACATCCGATTTTATTTTATAAAAAATCCATATGTAAATCTTTTGTTTCTTACGATGCTTTTTGCTGTTTTAACGTTAACTTATAAAATATTTATTATTCTAAGCCAGCACATTTGTGTAAGTTCCAGATAGTTTCTGTTATGGTTATCAGTAAAACTTTGTTATATTTATTGATAATTGTGTTTTTAGTTTAATAACCTTATTTACCTTTCTGAATACAATGTCATGCATGTATTAGTTGTGCACTTCATTCAAACTCTTATAACTTCAGCCAAAGTGCAATCTTGCATCAGCTTTTGATTTGTTATCGATTGTACCTAACGTTCATTTCATACGATGCAGTCGTATTTATGAGTGGACGTAACTTTTTGTATTTTTTAACATCAAATAAATGGATTTTCACTAAGCATTATATCCATGGCTTGTGTATACATACTTTTATAAGATAGTTTTCAGAAAAATTAATTTATACGAAAACTGACACTTCACATCTTGCAGAAAATCTATGCTTTCCAAAGAACATTCCAACAGTAGTAACAGTGTACATTTTCCTTATCCGAAATAGACTTAACGTAGATTTACTTATAATCCCAATGAGAGCACAAGTGGCCCACACACTACACACAAGCACAGACGAAACGTGCCAGTGTGTGGGGAACATCGTGCATTGGCATGGCGCGGTGGAAATCAAGACGAGTTCAATTTTTGACACGCCGCGCCGTGGAGGCAGTCCCACGCCACGTGCTAGTAGTTAAACAACTTTTGGTTTTATGTTTGACGCTTCAATATTTATTTCTTGTTATTTGAAACTAGCTTTTACCCACGGGCTTAACCCCGTTTGACTTCATAAGTATATTTTAACATTAGGTATAGGCTATAGAAAGTTCCCTTTAGAAAGGAATTACGACCTTAAAAGGCAATTTCAAGGGTTTTCATCATGACGAACATTTTAAGTATATGGTTTATGGGGGTGTGACTTGTAGTTTTCTAAAAAATCGTGGGTACTTTGGGATTTATATATGGATGAGTGAATTGATGATCAATATTTCGTCATCCATGCTCAATGTCTGCGAAATTAGGAGCGATTTCGCGCTCAGTAGTCTCATGCAGCGGCGGATCAAAGGGGGCGCACAGGGGGCACCCCCCTCCGAGAGTTTGGTAAATAAATCTAATTAAAAAACTATAGATTTAAATTGCAAAAAATTATAATTTTTCAGTCTCAAAATTGTCTAAAAACACGAGTTTTCAGTAAGATTATCCAAAATTTCCTGTGGGTGGGGCCCCAGACCCCCATTCTGCTGGGATAGGGGGTATTCCATACAAAATCAAACTTGCCCCCCCCCCAATCATACCCTGGATCCGCTACTGGTCTCATGTCGGAATACTTCTTCTGCTTCAACATAGCTTTGGTCCACAACTTCTTCTTGCGGGTTTCTTCCTCTGATCATGAATTACACTAAACAGCAATATTATTAAGATAAAAGTACAGGCTCTGAACGGTGTGGACAACAGGACGTCACAGGCCACACTCAGGCTCAAGTGTATGTGGAAGATTTCCACCGTGCTACGCCAATGCAAGCCGTGCTTGCACGATGTTCCCCACACACTAGCTCAGCTTGCTTGCACGGTGAACCATGCACGTGTGTGTGGGCCGCTCTGTCGCTCAAGATTTACTCATTTTTAAATCATCCGGTCCCTTCCTGTTAGTCAGTGAATTCTCGAAAGTAAACTCGATTTCCCAACTCAAGACAACGTATTAACACGACTGTTTATATCAGCGTCTGCCACATTAAACCCTGGACATTAGAACGGACATTCCATAAATGTTTAGTAAAATCGAATAACCACACACAGTGCGGACTACTTTTATTGTCAGACAATATAGAGGAAAATCAGATCTCATAATTAAGTCAACGCTTAATTTTTGCTGCGGTATTGCGATATACGACTGACTATATCCGACTGATAAATAATAGTTTACGCACGATCGCGTAAAGATAGTGTTAACGACACGAGTATAAATTTTAGGTGAGTGCCTTAAAAACTTCTACGAGTGTCGTTGTATTTACGCGAGTTGTACCGTCTGAGGACGGGATCAGATTCCAGATCCCAAAACGTTGTGTATTGTTTTTTACCATCGTGATGGAAAATGTCCGCAATAAACCTTTGAACAACATCACGTAGAATGGTAGTAACAAAGTTACACTTCCCTTCGTTTGGTTTTCATACTATGATTGATGATTGTGACATTTATGTTGCAATGAATTTCACACAAATTTTGGCTTTATAAAACTGGTAAAAAATGATAACAGCCATTTATAGCACACTCTGATGGTAGTATAATTATTGACCAAGATCTCTATTATTTTTAGGCTCACTTTTTTTCTTTAAATTATTGTCTTTATTTTATAAAAGGTATAATATGCTCCCCTATAAAGTATCAACAATTTGGGATGGCTGGAGACGATGTGTAGGTGTTACGATGCTCAGTAAAACTTGGGCGGTTGTTCTGACAGAATAGGAGGATATGTTAGTAAAGTAAATCTTGTCACGCCACAACACAAATACAAGCTTCAGATTTTGTTTTTGTGTGTTTGACGCTTTTGGCAATTTTAACGATTTTGAAGGGAACGGTCCATAACCCTGTTCTTGTAACTATTTTTTTTTTTTTTAGCGAATTTCCCATATAGGGAATAAGCTATTACCGTAGTACTCATGGTAAGACCTGGACCCGGGACCGATTTTTTTTTTCGTTTTGAGGTCCCTAGAGGCCAAAAACACCATCCGTTCAAATTCATATATATATATATATATTTATATATATATATATATATAGATTTATATATATACTAGCTGTGTACCCGTTCTACGCACGGGGATCTTATAATATTCAGTTGAAACCTTCTTATATAAAGAACAGCAGTTGGTTTGCATATTTTAAGATATGCTGGCCAAACTATTATACATAGCTTCATTTTATGTTGTTTTTTGTTGTTCCGGATCGGTATGACAATCAATAAAAGGTTAAATTACCTCTGTGTCTGCCGGTCGATCCTATAACGGTAGGCTTACTTTTATTTTTACTATCTGATCTCGTTTGCATGGCTCAATCACGTCCTGGTTGAAGTTCGTTCGCTACGCTCACTCACCTGTATGTTGGAGCTCGTTCGCTGCGCTCACTTTCCTTCAGGTTAGCTCGTTCGCTACGCTCACTTGCCTTCAGGTTAGCTCGTTCGCTACGCTCACTCGCCTCCAGGTTGCAAATTAGCTGTTGTCATAAATGTAAAAGAAATAATAGTGCTAGTGCTGCACCCTGTTGGTAATCCTTGTAACTTTAATGCTATTGAACATCACAGAACAGAACCAACTTGTTTAATTGAAACAGCTGTTAAGATTCAATAATTTCATTTCTCATAAGGTTAACATGGGCTTCCAGAAATTCCACGTCAAAAATCGACAAAAACTTGATTTTCAAGGGTTTACTGTTAAATATCTAACTGTCTCATATTCGATGAAATACGTCTAAAACCATCTCATATATGTATAGTATTTGGAAAATAAGTTTCAGGCGGGACAGTGCTATAGTTATTGAGGAGTAGTTGTAATAAAGTGCGTATTTTAGCGTTACCAAGAGAATGACAGATAGACAGACAGACAGACAGACAGACAGACAGACAGAAATTGAGATAAGGTTTGATTCGGTTTCTCTGACCTATGAAATGTAAAAATAACCAAAAAGTTCATTATTCTAAGCAATGTACAGACAAAACTCTAATTTTATTTATATAGATATATATATGTGTCCGTTAGCGCGATAACTCGAGCAAAAATGATCCGATTTTGATGAAATTTGGTACAAACGTGTAAACCTACGTTTATTTGAACGAGTTCGCGAACCAGCATGATCGGACCATGGGAACGGGGGTTTATGGGGGCTTTTATGGAGTAAAAATGGGTTTTTCCAATTTTCGACCCAAAAAACATAAAATTTTGCAATTTCTTTCCAAACTATTTTGTAGAGCTTAAAAAAACAAATAATTTAGTATATTGAAGCGTTATAATGCGCCTAATGGTTACGGAAAAAATTCCAAAAAATTGTTAATTTAAAATTCCCATGTTATTCTTATGGAGAATAAGTAAACTGTTGTAGTTTGCTTGTTTGTGAACATATTTTGATCAAATTTGGAAAATGTTTTTATTTCTTACTAACTATTCACATTTTACAAAAAAAAACAGTTTTACCTTCCCTGATGCAGCAAACCTAAGTACTTGTTAAACTAATTATATTTAAATCAAGAATAAATGTTATATTTTTAAGTAGACATTTCAGTGTAAATCCAATCAGTCGAATGGAAATTCGCTTAGTCTGCAGGTTTGCTGCGGCGGGGGTATTTTTTTTTTTGCTACATAGCCCATTGACAAATGACATCTGGGTCTGGAAACGTTTCCCTTAAGAGATCGAACCAGCGACTTTCAGGTTTGAAGGCGAGCACTATGACCACTCGGCTACCCAGACGATTACAAAAGAATATTTTGCAAATGGAGAAAAAATTCAATGTTTTTATCAACATTGGTCCAAATTGTCATGTTTGTACGGAATCACACATCAATTCTGAGATATGCGATAGTTTTAAACGTTAAAAATCTGCGTTAGCCTTTATTTTCAAACTAATTTTATTTCCCTTAACTCCCTAATCCCTAAATGTCTCAAATTTCAATTCAATTTCAATCCCCGTGGATTCCGAAGTCATAGTATTGCGATACAATCACACCCACCGCTGACCGCTCGCCCAAGGTATATGATATCATCGGTAATACCTCGTAATACATATCATTTCCACGCTTCTAGAAACCACTATAAAATGCTCATAAACTAATAACCGTTTTGAATCCGACATTTCTCTATCTACAACATCTTAATGGTGACTAAAATGGAATGTCGATGTAGATACAGATCAAGGCTAATTAACCGAACAACCCCTAGGGTGAGGAATTACCATAAATTACCGCGATTGGCGTCCCAACAAAATTGCACCGCTGAGCTAAAAAGTAATAAAATAGCGGGTGATTTGAGTGATTTAACTGGACGTACGACGGTAATCACTCGCGCTTCTTAACGCGACAATTTACCACGGACAATAATACTGCGTGTACAACATTTAATTGTGAGTACCGCC